ACAATTTGTTAAAAATATAATTTTTATCGTATTAATAAGTCTCAATAATAATTAGAATTAATTTTCGAGACAAAGGTAAAAAATAATATATCAATGGAAAAATGGCGAAAATAGCAAGAAATCGGGAATAATACGTTGCACGCGGCAATTTATGTAGCTTCCTTAGAAAAAAAGTGCCTTCTTATTACTTGCGCCCGCGTCGACAACCGTGTGTATCTATCGCATGTAGGTATGCACTTTCAGAAATTTATCCTAAGTCAGTAAATGTATATTCAGTGTTTCTTAATCGATTTAAGAACAAGTAGAAGTATGTAAGTCGGTCATGAATCAGAAAGAAGTATGATGTAATATTGAAACTTTTTGTTTATACTTCTTATTTATCATTTATTTCACATTTTTACCATTAGATATCGCTTATATTCATTAATTGAATGGAAATCTCGAATAAGGGTCTATAGTACATAGTATATGTATAGGTCTACAGTAACTGTCGATCGTTTTAGTATACACAGCTTGCAGATATTCCGTCAAAAGGCGATGCAATATGGAACACAAGAAGCACATTAGGCGTTTGAAACTTGCGGAAGAAAGGTCTGCAACACAGTTTAGAAGTGAGGTGTATAAATGTACGGCCTATAGCTCTTCTGTTGGTCGTTTCAATGAAGTAAAGTATACATATAGTCTATGGCACAGGATAAATTCATCGCAACTCACCGAACACAGTATAACTTAAAACCCGTTTTTTATCCAAAATATGTTAAATGTGCTTTAAACCCTTATTCGAGGTTTCCATTCAATTATGAAGACATTAAAAAGGTACGATTTAGGGGACCGGTACGCTATATGCAATTATTCCCTTTGTAACGCCTGGTAGCCAACCTGTTAACCCTCTGAGTAAGGACGTTTTTAATGTTCGTAGAAACAGTGATGCCTATTTAGGTCCGTCTGAAACCCTATGCCTCCTTCTTCATAAGCATACTTTCGAACGGGATCATTAAAAAAACACCTGCTTTGTTTATACGACCATATATGATACAGTTCCAACCTTAATTTATATTTACAAATCGATGAGTTTGATAGACCTTTTAAACATTCGAGTCTAAACGGACTCGGGTCACCGTACTCCATCATGGGTTAATCAATTTTAGTAATATTCACACATTGTTCTTAATCTAATAAAGTTTCATTATTTTTAACGTAATAAAGTTTCTAATACATTAATATCATGCAGTCTATCGTTGACCCACTACATACAATATCATCTGATACACTTGCGCTCGTGTTGCTTTCGACACTCGTCGCGTGACTGTACGTTCGTCATTCAGCGACGGTTAGTTCTCATCGCTCTAAATTTCTGGTACAGGTCTGAAATTTCTATCTGCAAATTTAAACTTTGGAATTTACATTAATACCACACAGTCCACCGGTTGACCCACTATATCGTGTGATACACTTGCGCTCGTGTTCTTTCGGACTCGCGTGACTTTACTTTCGACATTCAGCGACGGTCAACCTCCCCTGCAGCGTCGTCGATCTATCCTACCCCTCCCTCCACCCACACTGTCCGGAAAATCCCAGGGAAAACAAACGTTTCGACCGAAAACGTTTTTCCTTCCCGTATTTTCTAGTATGTTGAACGCGCGCATACGTCCCTATAATTCTTGTCGGGTAACATGAGAAACGAGTCGACCGCCTCGGGGTCCGCTTTTCGTAAGCGGCTTACTTGCGTGACGGAAAATTGTACTACGCTGCACTTCTCCCACCGCCCCCCCCCTCCTCAAACCCCTTTTGGCCTTTCTTTTTCTTTGCCTTAACTGTCTCCGGCTCGTATATAAAGCGCATACTTATTCGTGGACGTGTGTATGTACGTACGCGTGTCTCCGTATTTCTTTCCTCCCATCCCCCGTTGGACTTTTCGCGATGCACCCCGCCCGAATAAACGCAGTTTCTCAACGGTTAATGTACGATATCAGCTGGAATTATACGGCTCCGCGAGCTTCACAGATAGGATTTCGTATATTATATGTATACGCGATAAATAGAACGTTCCCTCGGTTATATCCGAGAATCGCTTTGAAAACTCTGCTGCTCTCGTTACAGGCTTCATCTCGATGTCCATCCGATAAGATTAGAAAAATTTGTGGGAAATATTGGTTTGTAGCTTTGTCGATTAGGTATGGATTGGATGGAGCGGATTGCTTTGCAAATGAAAGTTCACGTTTGATTGATATTTTCGGTGCATAGGAGATTGTTTAATGTTCGTTCGATGAAAATCAACTCGAATGAAATGCTGTTGATACCCTTAGTCTACAAATACAAAAATGTGAGGTGATTATATGTACGAAGAAGGCTACGGAGTTTGGTCAGTGCAATCACGAATGTATGTGTATTTGCATTTGTTGCTGAAGAAATGTTTCTCTTCTTTTCCATCACGGTTTTGTTACTTTTCTGGGAAGCGTTAATATACTAATATCAAGTTAAATGCATGACTCTTACGTTCGTGTGCACTTAATGTAATGAAACGTGTGTTATTCAAAATATTCATAGTATATTTTCATTATTAAAGAGAATAATGGAATTAAAGAGAAAAAAACGGGAAACGAATAATGAGGTCAGGAAAGAAAGAAATACAGAGTTTGTATTCGATATACCTGTGTAATAATGTTTCTGATGAACATATGATTTTTGCAATTTCTTTGACCGTTAGACATTATAAGATTTTCCATTAAGGTATAGGTGACTTATTTACCTGGCTCTGTAATTCATTTTTGTAATGTATCGAATTGTTTAACTTCTCTCAGTAGATGATTTACTTCTAAAAAGTAGCGTTGTTAATTGATATTAAAATTTAAATTTAAGATTTAGTTACGAAAAATCGAATCATATATTTGCATAATATAAAGTTATTTCTACGTTAACTTGTTTTTTTGTTGAGCGGGGGCATTGAATTTCTTTCGAGGTGCCATGTAACAAGGTAATAGCGACAGATCCGTTATTTGTCTATAAAATGAAACAAACGAAGTTGTTTCACCTTGTTGCGAATACTGAAAGTAAAAGTTAAATTTTATATGGTGAAATCTACCGTTACTGGAATTAACAAGAGATGGATAACTGTTCACAGAGTTTTAAGACTGATTATTACTTAATGTTTCAAATGAGATTAGCGAAATATTACTAATACAATTTGATTATATTTCTTTGATAAGTATATTGTTCGCATCGTTATTCTTTGTAAATGTATACATTAGGGCACGGTATAGTCAATTAGTAAAATATTTGACTTACGGACTATAGGTTCCCATTACGTAGGTTCTGTCATATTTTTTCCATTGTTTTACCATCCATCTTACAAGGGAAGGCTGGGAAGTGCCCTCCTCCGATTTTGATGAAACTTCGTATGTCTGTTAAACAGTCAAAAATAAGGGATACGTACTATTTTTTATCGGCTGAGACGCGACTTTAAGGGGTGAAACCACCACTCGAAATCTCGACTCGAAAATACTATCTCGAAAACCAGAGGAGATACATGAAAACTTCTAATGGACGAGGTTTGCGGTTTTTTATGTAGAATAATAGGGTGCTAACAAATTGTCCAAAATATAATTTGTTTATAACAAAAAAGGTTCCCACCGAAACTTCGAGGGGTAGTTTCAACCCTTCAAGTCGCGTCTCAACCGATAAAAAAAATACGTATCCCTTATTTTTTACTGCTTAACAGACATACGAAATTTCACCAAAATCGGAGGGGGACACTTCTACCACAATTCGGATCGTATCATCTTACAAACTGAAAGCTTCATTTGCGAATTGGAGATTTCGTGTTCGTCCAAAATCGTCGGAGCCAAAAAATCATTTAACACGTTGACTGGCCATATCATAATTAAAGTTGTTTACGACAAATTCGACAATAAGTTGTTGCTTACTGCAAATAATAACTAAATTGGATCATGTTAATTAAAAAAATTAAGCAATCAACTTGCCATATATTCGATATTGAAATTAACTTGACCGAATTAATCTGAAAGAATATAGCACCCAGGGTCTACATGAAATCCGATTAAAATAACTTTCACGTTTAGGGTCGATATTATTCAACACTTTTCCTCGAATTTAGACTACTTTGTGAATTAGTTTGAATTCGCCCAGACTCTTTCATGTCCTTATAATACAGTTCACTGGTTAAATATAGACGAAGCTTGCCGCATTTGGCTAGAAGTAGGTAGACTGACGAGCAAACTCGGCTTCCTCTAGGGGGAAAAAAGCAACGTAGGTGTAAGGGATTCGTACAGCTTCATACATTTATTTGAAACGTTAAAATAAACGTTAAACCGAACGTTAATTTGGCATAAATTTCAGTAATTCCCGATACCAAGTGGTAGGAGGCCCTTAACCCTACGCCGTTTTTTCCCCTAGCGGAAGCCGAATTTACTTGCGAGAGTACATTGATTCGCGATTGTTTCATTATTCACAACAATCGTGTGGCCTGATGGGATTTTCGAAAAATTTCTCGTTGTATTTAACGTGTTAAACAGCTCGCGGCAATCGACGGAATACTTATTCTCCGTGTTATCTAATCTAATCTAATCGATACATCCTTCGGGAGTACATCATCTTGCGCAGAGAAAACAAAAACGAGACGATTTCACGTTTCAATAATGACCCGGAGTCTGTACAGTTGTGGTCGGTCGATGATCGTGCGTTCTCGACACCACGAGACGCAATCTTCGTTTACTCGATTAAGCGTGCTTGCATTGGTAGTCCTGCGCTTTTTTTCTATTATGTATACCTTCGCCCATCCGCGGCCTATGCTTGATATCATTTCCATTTACACTTCCGCCCAGCCCACGATCTCTGTCTCTTTCTATCTGTCGCGTTGCTAAACCCTTTCGTTGAGCCATCGCCCCACCTCCCAAGCCCACCAACTAGCAGCCCCACAGGCCTCCCCCCCCCCCCCATTGCATCCGCAGTAACGCGAGTTTTCGCTTTTGGTATGTTTCCAGAACAGCAGAATCCGAAGTTCGACCGCGGGAGGAACCAGGAGTGCACCGAATAAATGACGTAAATCCGAGGAACGGAAACGCAACGTCACTCGCTAACTCGCAATCCCCCCTTCCCCCCACCGTACCTCCCCCTTTTCTGTCTTTCTCTTTCACCATTTCCACGTCACCTCCCGTTCCCCCTTTCGTCCAATCCGACGCGACCCGAGCCCGGTGATCCACGATCCAAAACAGAGCCGAGAACCCACCATCACTCTCTACCCTCGCCTTTTTTACCCGCTTTGTCGCCTACCGCCTTGCTTACACTCTTTACCAGCCTTCCTCTCTCGGCCTCCTTCGTAAAGGGAACAACGGTCTGTCCTTTCGTCTTCGTCTACTTCCATCCTGCGGCCCGTGGAAGGATAACCCAGGCTCACCTTTCCAACGTTCAAGAGCTCCTTTCTAGCTCCGTTTTCTGTCTCCTGGTTCAGTAGACTCTACCACACCGAGACCACACGCTTCAGAACCGGCTTGAAGGACACCAGGACCGGCTTTTTGAAATACACACCTATTCGATATACACAAACACACGTAAGCACACACACACGCACACACACAACACACACATAGATCTGTCTCTCTGTAATAAAAACTCCAACGCAGCCAGCCAGCAACAGCCAGCCATATATCGATCAAAGAAAACAAACTCGCGCCTAGAGAGCACACATACACACGTACACGTACACAGACACACACACACACTCCTCGTGGTCGACGTTTAGCTTCGAAAGGCTTTCAAGCTTTGCCCAAAAATCTACTACGCGCCTTCTAAAGCTCCTGCGAAGTGCATCGCGCGAAGATAAAACAGAAAACAGAGGAATCGAAGAACGACGATCTTCTTGGATCGACCAAAGCCGCAACATCGCCTGAATAAACGAAAAACTTGTGAGGGGACAAGAAAAAATTACCGCATCGAAGCCACAGAGCCTAATCGCTGTTGATAGATCTCCTACCGTCTCCCTCTCTATTTCCCGTGAAACGAACACGGTCCTCTTCCACCAGTCGCCAACCGCCTGCCGTTGTGTAACTCCCCGTGCCTGAACACACACACGCCTACGGTGCAACGGTTTTTGGTGAACACACATCATCGTCCGCATTCGAGATCGTGTGTACGAGCGCTGGAATCACGAAGGGAGGAAAGAATCAGTGAAAAAAATAATATAATAATAAGAACAAAGAAACAGAAAATACAGAAGGGAAACAACAGCCACACTTTCTCTCTCTGTCACTCTATCGCTGTCCAGCTAACCGCTAACTTGGCAAACGGCGCGCACTTGAGCTGCACTGTCTCTCTGTAGCGACTAACCGCTGCGATCGATAACGCCCAACAGTGCGCACGATAAAGAGCGAGCAGCCGATAACCACGGGCGATATCGCCACACGGTCTAAGAATAGTTTAGAATCGCGTGACGAAGCCACCACGACAATCGCGAGCGTTTTACACGGTGTTCGATATAATACATACGCGACAACGAAATACAAGTAAGGCAAGTTCAAGAAACAAACGACGGGGTTTCTGATCAACGCGAGTTTATTCGATCCTAGTTACCACCTTTCTTCACTTCGTCGACGTCGTTGGTGTGTTGTCGAACGGTTACGCGAGTTTTACGGTTCGTCATCGTCCTCATCGTAGTCGTCCGCACGGAAGATATACAGTGAACTGGAAGACCAGCAACTTGTGTGACGGGACCGCGTTCATGGAACAATAAGATCGCACGTTGCACGAAGAGAGCCTTCGAAAGGTACCAAAATTTATCATTGTATCAATGCTACCCTCCCCTCCTCGGCCCACCCACTTGCGGGATTTCGAGCATATATGTCACATAGTAAAAGCGTGAAGTTTAGTAAATGTATACACTGAAAAGTATGAACCGAATATAAGAATGTATATACACTATTTCTGGTAAATGTATGTATTTTCTAGATGATGCACACATTTCTTACAGCACGGTAGTAAAAGGCATAATGTCGAAAGTATAATTTTTGAAGATATAAGTGTGTCTAGCGAACAAAAGTAAAAACTGGAAACTTAACAGTTCATTTGCAAATTTAGGGAACATTTGTAAGAAACTCGGTTATTTTTATTTAATACGATTATATAGAAAGAAATATATATAATGTAAAATGAATACTTCGGTTATATAAATTAACAGAAAATTTTTCTTCATATTGTTTTTATTCATTTTAGTAACATAACCTAAATGAATTGTACCCGTAAAATTACCTATGTATATGAACTCTAAAGACGCGTTTTTATTATGCTAAAGTTTATAGGTTATATGATTCATATGAACAAATGCTAGCAAAAAGGGTTGTTTTGAAATTGATGCATTTTTGTTCGTGCGTGCTTTTACTAAATGAAAATTGTAAATGTATGAATTTATTAGTAAAAGTATAAATTTCGTTCCTTGTGAATGCATTTACTAATCAGATTAATCAGTGTATAGATTGACTAGGAAATGTATACAGTTACTGAATAAACGCTTTTACTGTAACGTATTGTATACATATGGATCCAAGTCTTAAGGGCTGAGCTTAACCGTTGTTGGGTTGTAACGTGTTAAGTTACAGGACGATTATGTTTTCTTTTCTTTTTTCATTATGGTTCTTTATGGTTCTTTATGGTTTTTTATGGTCGCTCTAACTTGTTTCTGCAAAGAGGAATTATTTGTATAGAACACTTTCTGGATTCTACAATTCCGCCACTTTTGAAAATCTAAGAGTGTACAGTACCGTTTAAAAGTTTCGAGTACTTTTCAGTGTTTTTAGAAACATATTTTATAGAGAGAATTTCCGATATGAATAAAATCTCTGATCCTGTCGTCCACTACTACTAAAGAAAAACCGTAAAGCAATGATCTTGGTGTATTCACTGCGTTCGAAAAAATTGGTACATGTGCGCAAGAAGCATTGTTTATTCGGACAATAAAGGGGCGCTTTAAACTTTTGGGCAGCAGTATCAGCATTTTGTTTAATAAGTTATGGGTGCATGTGCCTTTATGATGAATAATATGTTAATCGAAATTTTTGAACGGTTGCACAGATGAATTCGGAGCAATTATTTGAATAAAAGTATGTCCCTTCGGTAGTCGGTATTAATGCGCCGAGGAACAGAAAACAATGATATATATTTGTCATACCATTCGCGTATAGTTCTTTAACTGTATATTTCTAATGTTTTCATAGAAATTTCCGAAATGTTTCGATTTCCAAATAACGACAAGTGCCTTTTGAGAATATGAGATAAGAATCAGTTACACTTTTGTATTATTATGCACGGAAAGTAAGGTTATCTGGGATTCAGTTTTAAGTTTTCGTACACGTTACAATCCATCATTGCGTTCACAGTTATAAATGAAAAATTCAAGTTGTATACAAAATAGGCCACAACTAGTAGTCAGAAATGTAGAGAGTTCTATGATAATGAAACTAATCTTCCAAAGAACGTGTTTTTGGGTTACTCAGAGCAACGCTTCAAGGCACAGTGTCCTTCGGTGGTCGTTCCTCATTTTTCCTGCCGACAGTGTCACTCTTTTGTCTACCCCGTCAGGTCAACGCCAGCCTTGTCTCGTGGAATCGGTCATAACGATGTTCCTTCCGTGAGTCCTGGCGTAAAACCGGCCATTGTCCTATTTGCCGAACAATTTCTATCTTCAGAAACATCCGAAAATCCAGTCGCTGTTTATGTAAATAAAGTATATTTGGTCAGTGTAAGTTTGCAAATTAGTCCTACAGGAGTTGCAGGCAATTTACTTCATACTGCGATATCAGAGGTGTACAAATCAATTTAAAAATGTAATGTAACCGTCGTGAGTTCGAAACGTGTAACCGCAATTTGAATTATATTATTTCATAGAAAAGTACAGTTTCAGGCGTTAATTTATAAAAAGTGAACGTTAGTCAGAAATTTATTTCCTGTATCAGGTATACCTTAATAATAACCAAAAAATATTATTAATTTTTGAATAATACATAGTGAAACGCAGCAGTATCTAGGAGAGCGTAATCTTGACCCTTAGAATGTTCATGAGATTAAATAATTGTTTACCAAATGTTTACTCATTCAAGAAGTATTCTTTTATTACAAAAATTCTAATTTCCACATTTATGCGATTGAAAATGACGAAGATACTTTTTTCTATATTGTATTCGATATTGGCAACTCTATATCCAGACTCAGACAATAAATTTAACCATCTCCGATTGACGTCTTCACTTCAATACGTTTTGTAGGTCTGGGTTAGGTGCCATCAATATAGAAACACGTGCGTTCAGCTGTAAAACGCGGACCTTTGTCTTCCGATTTATCAGGTCAAGCGAATAATTTATTTTCATATTTCGTTCGGTCTCGAACCGTTCCCGTATCTGTTGTTGTATAATTGCAAGTAGACCTGGACAATAGATCCGCCGAAGAACGACGAGGAAAAGCTTGACCCGATTCGGAACGCTTGCATTCATCACCTGTAAGACTAATTTGCACATTTCACTTTGGTCGGGCATCGATTCAAACAAGTACATGCCTATATCATACCCACCCTTAAATCTCGCACAGCTACGCGAGGCGAAAAATCGAAGGAAATGTCTATAATAAAGTTCGAATTCCCTGGAATTCCCGCAAGTGCCGGCCGAGTTGAGGGCTCAGGTCAGAATAAACAAAAACTCAATTGTATCCTTGGCAAGATCAGCCGGTGCGAGTGAACGCGAGGCGAACACGCCAGAACCGGAGGAAGAGGATAAATCACAGTCGATAGGAAAGCCTGTCCGTACGCTAAGGAGGAGTCCCGTGGTCTTCCAGGAGTGGAAGTATGGCAATGGTCAACATGAATAACCTACTGAACGGCAAGGATTCCCGGTGGCTCCAGCTCGAGGTTTGCAGGGAGTTCCAGCGCAACAAGTGCACTAGGCCCGACACGGAGTGCAAGTTCGCTCATCCGCCAGCTAACGTCGAGGTGCAGAATGGACGGGTCACTGCTTGCTACGACAGTATCAAGGTAATTAACCATTGTATAATCGAGTCGATAATCGTGGATAAGTTGGCCACCATTGAACGTCTACTATTCTCTATTCCGTCGTCTTTCATTGATAAGGTTAAAGTCTTGTCGAGGGACCAGTCTCATGAATCTGTTATAATTTCGTTGAATTTCGCCATTGTGCTCGCATGACCTTCTTGGATCATACTTTCCTTCATTTTACTCGGAATGTTTTACTGACGTTATTTAAATTTCTTTTACTCATGGTACCTTAATAATCTGTGCCGCCGTAATATGATGGTCCTTTCATTGCTCCGTGCCATTCTGTAGACTGCGTCGTGTCCGTGAAATATTCTTTCGTTACAACCTCGGTACAAGTTGGACGGTATTTCTACAGAGAACTGCACCAGCAGAGTAATATTTCGTTTTTTTAGGAACAGACAATGTGATTCACCCTCGGTATTTATCGCATAGCGTGGTCAAGTACATAGGTAACGTCATAACGAGAACGTATTGTATGGACGATATTGTAGTGTCGAAAAGAGATACAGTTTTAATGCCAATGCCGAGAATAAATGAAAGTCTTTTAATTTTGTGGTTTTGTGGTACCCTGGCATATGTGATCTAGTGGTATTCAATTCTAGACTCTTTGCGCTGTGATATTTTTCAAATTTTATCTCGTATGTTCGTACAATATTTTGTCTAGAATGTACACCATCGGCCGTTAGTCAACCTGAGAAATGTATGCATTTATACCTTACACGATTGTCTAAAACTCAGTACAGTCAAAAGTCAATGAGGCGTTTGTCCTCTTTGATGTCTGACAGAACCATCAATACCGTGAACAAATTTTTTCTTAATTCTAGATTCTATAAATTTAAACGAACAATTCGCAAATGTGGTCCATTGGTAACTCATCCAGTTAGAAATTTCAGACCGTAATGGTTAATTTCGACATCGAACCGAACAGCAGATTCGTTTGGTTGATCAATGTTTCAGACGGAAAAAAAAACTGATCCCCTTTCGATTCCTAACTATTCAAGAAAGAAATTCTTGGTGACGTACAGCAGATGCCATCTGTGCAATTATGAAAATCCATAGGAGACGTTCGATTCTCCTGTAATGAATAGGTATCCATCGGTCGGCCTTTAATAAAACTGTTCCCCGTACAAATTTCTCCGAACGACGGGGAGCAAACAGGCGCTGGCATAATCGCTCGTAGGAGGCACCCGATTAAGCAGAGAAACGAAAAAAGATACGAACTGGGCGCGGCTCGAGCGAGAACCGTCCTTGCTCCGGAGATATTGAATTCGAGAATTGAGTTTGTAGTTATTAATAGCGACGATTACTCAACGGGGAGGGGGTCGATAAATAAAAAAAAAAAGACAGGGGAACGAGTTTGACGAATTAGAACAGGGAGGGGTGGGGCGTTACGAAAAAATTGGAAAAAGCTTTCGTTGATAATCGAAGGGTTTGCAGACGTTTTATTATTCGATGACACATAGCGATTAGATAAAGGGAAGGGAAGACGTTACGAGCGGGGCGCGGCTGTTTAATTTAATTTAGGGTCAATATGTATTTTCCCTGGAAGGCGCTTTTGGATTCGTATTTTTCTGATAAGCTCACCTTGAACTTTGAGAGATTTTTGGTGTATTCGTTGGCCGTGAATAGTGTGTCAAATTGTAGTGATAAATTATGGGGTTATAACGGGATTGAGCGTATTCTACGAGGTTTTCAGTTTGTCAAATGTTTGCATCTATTTATTGGAAAGTGTATTTTATAAAATTATTCAAACGTAAAATATGTTTATTGTATAATTACTTTTTATTTCGATTCGTACGTAACTCCACTACGTTTCACCCCGTTAACCGGCCAAGACGAGTTAACTCGTTTTTCGTCATTTGTCATTACCTAGTTAGGAAACGTTTACGATTGAAATATGTGTCCGTTAACAGGTCAGTCATTCTGGTTAATTATTTTACCAACTGTTTTGGGCATATTCACGCAACTTATTGTTTTCTCGATATCAAAATATAGATACATACGATAAAATTTTAACAGACCTTCTGTAATCTTTAATACGTTGAACACCACAGCTCTTACTGTTGCGATAGTTATCATTATGAGATACGTTTAGGTCGTTCATTGTTACTCCATTATTAATTGGATTTATAACATGTTGAAAGTTCGCGTTTACAACGTTATAGTGTTAATACTTGAATGTTTTAATATCTTCAATACCTATCGTGTATCTACTGAACCCATCCTTATTTTCTGGAACAACCTGCAAGCATGTCATGACACAATTCTATAAGTATCTAGTATTACAGAATATAATGAAACAGAAAATCCAATGCACAGATACATATAATACAGGGTGTCCCGAAATGATGGGACAATCCGTAACATACATGTTCCTCATGCAAATACAAATCGAAAAGTTCTTTACCGTTTTGTAATCTAAAGCTCCATTTCCGAGATATTAACAGTTAAACGAACTCCAATCAGCTGAGCGGTCGTCCACACGTACGCACGCACACGGGGTTAAGAAGCGCGCGACCCAGGTCATTGGCCTCCGCTGCTTGACTGTGTATGCGTGTACGTGCGGCCAACCGCTCAGCTGATTGGAGTTAGTTTAACTGTTAATATCTCAGAAATGGAGCTTTAGATTACAAAACGGTAAAGAACTTTTCGATTTGTATTTGCATGATGAATATGCATGTTGCGGATTGTCCCATCATTTTGGGTCAGCCTGTACAATCAGACTTCAAGTAAGAGGCAAAATTATGTATCTCGAACAGTGTATAGAGGTTTCTTCAAGCGAATCCTCATTTAGATAAGCTTTCCATTCATTTACAATAAATTACCGCATTTCCTCCCTATAATCGCGCTTTCGCGACCTGCTTCTAATCGCGTTCGAATCTCTGCTATATCATGGCGATAGCAATAGGCGCGCCTTCGTTTCAGTCTTACTGATAGTGAGAAAGCGAATTCGAGAGTCAACGAAAGGCGAATAAGATCAATAGCCAAATCGTTTCTTCTCGGTGTCGGTCACTCATCGCTAGACCGTGGAACATTACGTAAATTTCTTATGATTTAATTCACAGTAATTAATAGAATTTAATGTATATTTTCTCTGTGAATGGTTCTTACCGTGTTAAAACTCAAATAAAATCTCTGTGACACTTTAACTACTGGATAAGGATTTGATAAAATATTGCAGTATAAATATTGAACTATCGCACCAGAATTTACCGACAAACTGATCCCGTAGACCCTATTTTAGAAAATAACGGTAATTGCATCCGTTTATTCTACACAATTTATCGAATGAAGTGCTTTCTTGTAACCATATTATAGCCATGCAGTTCCTATATAAAATTCAGTTGCGCACCCATTTTGGTGCAGACAGTAGTTAAAGTGTTAAGTTTCCTTGCAGTTTTGCATTTTAATCTGTTTCAAATATTTACGTATGCTATGAATACGTACAAGTTCATAATTTTATCATTATTTAGTATAACATAGTGGTTAGCTTCCTAAAAGTGGCCGTCTTATGCGAATTGGTGTTACACAAAACTAAGAAGTACCTAGTATGTACATGCATTGATGTGTAAACTCTATTTCCGTCGAGCCACTTGGTAAATTTATTTCAACTACTGTAATAAATGTTAAATTAAATGTTAATTTGGCCTAAATTTCTGTAATTCCCGGTACATACCATGTAAGTGGTAAGAGGCCTTTCCGATACACAACTTTTTCCCCTAGCGGAAGCCAAGTTTGCTCGTCAGTGTACACGGCTTCCACTAGGGAAAAAAGTAACAAATTTAACATTTACATCAGTTGTTGAAATAAATTTATCAAATGGCGGGAGGTCCTTTCTCTTCGCCACTTTTTCCTCTAGTGGAATCCGAGTTTGCTCGTGAGGGTACATATAATACATCATACATATGTACGTATACATATGCGAAATACAGGTTTAGGGTTCAAAACGTAAAACCACCCTAAAATTTGCAATTCTCATGTATTGCGCTTGAAAAAAGAACTGATCACTTTATTCTCGAAAATATTTTTTCTGGGGAATTTGAAATAATACCGAGCCACATTTCATCTAGAAAAATCTATCCTTTTTCCGAAGAAGCATTATTTCTCAACACGATTTCAGATGTGCAATATTTGGTTCGTTTTTATTTTCACCACGATACATAAGAATTGAAGATTTTAGACTGGTTTTATAGTTACGCGGTGTGTTCTACGTAATTTTTCAACTATCTTCTTACAGCGAAAGCGCGCGCGTGTAGCAATACCACCGTGTTATTCAGGTGATTTACCAATTCAGTATTTATAAGAGGGTTGCCTGTATCATATTATTCTATGTATACAATAAAAGTAGCCATGTATCTTATCATCCAGAAAGAAATTGTGTCCCGCGCGAAATCAGACAAGAATTTTTATCGAGCCATTCATTCCACCGCCCGGTTCATCCGTGAAATGAAGTTCGACTCGCTGATTAAACGACCCGATTATTCTCGCTGTCGGTCGTCTGGACGATAGAGAGCTGCATACTGCGTGCGACGACGACGTACGTCAACGTCGGACAATGATGTATACGTCGTTGCGCGAGTCGAGCCCACGTAGCCCCCAGAGTCCGTCGTTTAATTCTGGAAGCTATTAATGTCCCCGGGACCCGGCTGAAAGGCCCGCGTTGTCCCTCGATCCTCGGCCATCTCTTTGCCTCGTTTGCTCCTCGCGCGTTCTTACTCACAATCAGTGGCGGCACTCGTTAACTCGTTTAATCGCACGCGCTCCTACCGAACAGTAATCGTCCAT